GCACTTGGCTGCCAACGTAGGTGACGCAGCAACAGCATCCTTATGTGCTTTTCAGGACGCTCCTGATCCCCTACAGTGTCTTTCGGCGCATTGAGACAGTTCATTACGTAAGTAAGTCACATAGAAGGCGGAACATCTACGGATATCTCTTAGTAAATATTACCAGGTATTCACACTAGTAGAACGTCCACAGATGTACAGAGGAACTTCTTCAACAACATCTTTTGCCCACTCATTGCAATTTATTTGAGGTGCACTCATCTCATTTGATTCATACGCAAAGAGCGTTAGCTCTTGCTCCAGTAAGTCGTTTTGCAAAGAGGAAGCTTCAATAGATATAATAAAGATATATTGTGTATACTATATTAAAAGTAAATGCATAGATGAGATGGACTAGAGGAAGTATGGCGATACAGAAATGGAATAAGTGTATAATGAAAACGTGCCAGCAATCTCCTACAGACCAAATAGATATAATGGAGGTATAGAAGGCTCTTTCGCAGGTGAACTAGGTCTAAATGATCAGTCTTGAAGAGCACCGCTGTCACCACTTGAGCGGCAGACTATCGTCCCACAACACTAACTGAAGTAGTTCACATGATCAATTACTGAAAATTAATATTTCGCGAAACTAATTATTGGGTCTTAGCCTTTAGCCTTTAGTTAAGGAGATGCAAGTCCCAGCATCCGTATTTGTTCGCTGCATCGACCGCTGTCTGCATGCTTTGGTACGTGTAAGGCCCTGAGGTTTAGCAGTGCAGGTCCAGAATGCACGGAAAACTCCGGAATCCAGCCTCTTCAATAGATCGTCATCGAAGAAATAACTTATAATTTCTCAAATAATAAATCTTATAACTTTATCAACGTAGAGACTAGGTGGGGAAAGGCCAATGTCTCCACTGTAGACACATGCATGTCCGAATTGGCCGCGTAGGCCACACTATAATCGGCACGGGAACTAGATGCAGAAGATGGCAGACAGAAATCCCGCGGTTAGTGAGGAGCGGGAAGGACACTGCGTATTAATGAGAAAACGTGGTTCTGGTCCTTGCTGGGTTGGTCGACCTTTAGACCTCCCAGAGTACTCCTGCGAATAGCCTGCTGTACCATCATGCTATTGCGGCTGGTTCTTGTTTCCCGCGACTACCTCTAGGGTTGCTGCAGCTGATCGGTACCGTGGGGAAGTCCGCTCTGCCGGGTTGCTACCAACTGAGTTACGTGTAACGGCCAACACGATGTTTTCTGTTTTATCTAATGTTCGGCATCGCCTCTCCAACGAAACCAATAAAACTAACACACTGTAGTGCTCACGCACGACAGTACGTCAGGTATCTACGTGAGCGACTCTACTCGATGTAACACACCGAAATTGCATTTTATATGCAAAGCGTACAAATATTCTCCTTCGAGTTCATGTCCTCATATATTTTCGTGTAAGTGGATTGCTTAGAAGTGGTTTGTCTCGTGATAAGTGTGTAACTTCCTTTGGTTCTGATTATGTAGCACGCACGCCTAGGGCACTTCAGGGGACCTCAGGGTATTCCCCTCGGGTTTTGGCTAAAAATTCAAACTCCAATTCTCATACATACTGATGGAGAATCATTCCTAAGTGTTTACGAAAAAAAACGCGAAAATACAATGGATGCCTAGGACGCCAGCGGTTGTGGCTACCATCAGTAGACCAGCAGGCAACCCGCTGAGCTGTTCTGTTCGGCTACCCTCACTAAGGGATTGTCCTCGGACCGAAACATAAAGTACGCAGTATCTCTTATCTTAGTGGCACTAACTAATACTGTCGCTGCCTACATCTCAACTCATACTGCCATCCCCTACTACGGCACCGCAGCGCAGACTGGTTTTACCGAGCATGACCCAAAAGGTTGTCCCCTCCCGCTATCCTCCTTTGTTATCCTCAGTTTTGATTGATCTATATTTATTTATCTTTGAGCTGTATGTAAACCCTAATTGACTCAAAGATCCATCATGTTGCTGGCGACGTCGCCGCCCTGGGGCTGCGCGCCCAGTCTTGGGGACCAACCGGTCCGGCCCAGACCTCCCCTTTCTTCTTAATCTTCATCCTCAGCACTCACGTTGTTTCATTCGTTTTTAAATAATCAGCTTAATTGTTTTGTACAGTCTACCGCCTGTTCTTCTTGACTATGGGTCCCATCTTCAAGCGGGCAGCTGTTGCTTGCCTCGTGGCGCTCTCTGGGCTCGAGCCAGCGACGGCAGCGACACCTCCGCAGTTTACAGTCCATGATGCAGGCGAAGGTAACCACACATCAGTCCACATTTTCTTCACTTCTTCTTTTAATTCCTGTGCAAGAAAACACCCTAACTGCACTGCTTGAACACAGTAGGCCAGCCGGGAGTCCAGCGCTCATCGGTTTTGCTGGTGACGGAAAAAGTGCACCTGTGTTGGTTTTTTCCGTTGCCTGCAGATGCGTACCTATCCGTCAACTTGGCCCGCGTCGGCCAGATGTCTGTGCGGATAAGTCAACTGACGAAGGACGACGAACTCATTGAAAGCGTACGGGGAACATTGGCAGGGACGGATGGTGAACGGACAGTCACTACGTGCGCGGACACCATCTCAGAACTCGTGAGCAAATTCATCCTTAGAAGTTTGAGCTGATGGCATGAATGCAGCATTAGAAGCTGTTTGACTTCCCCCTACACAGAAAAAGACATTCGGCCTAAAATATATTTGTCCTATTTCGCTTCCTCTTTGTACTGTCAGAAGAAGCAGAAAAGTTTTGTCGCACAATTCACAAAGGAGGACGACAGGAACTATCGCCAATCGGTGCAGGAAGCCCTTACTACGGGACTTAAGTGAGTCTGACACATCTCACGAGAGGGAGCAAACACTCTAGTGTAATATTAGTGCTAGTACATGTAGAATGGTGTATGCCTATGCCTTATTCTTTTACCCTCTATGCTGCTAGCGGCATTTGGATTATGTCTGAAAGGGAAGAGGACGGGGCAAGTAGATCTGCTTCTTCATATCCACTGTACTTGCCTACCCCATGCACACCGCAAAACCCCAACCACATCACTATCGTCGGCGATTCACTCAGCTTTTAATATTGATTTCTGCCTGGCCTTGTTGGGCGAATTGCTGCGCTTCTCTCAGACTTATGGAATCGTACCCTACAACAGATGACGAATGGAAGGAGCTCTGGAAGAAACCCGACGGCGTCAACCTTGCAAGCCTTCTCTGGTCTAACAGCACCAACATTGGCTGCGCCGTTGGAATATGCACTGAAGGCACACAGGGTGACCGAACTACAACGAAGACAGCATATCTTTTTTGTCAGATGGACCCTGCAGCGGAGGAGAACAAGGCTCCCTTTGAGTAAGTTTCAAGTGGGCGGTTTCTTCTCAGGAAGACGGGTCAACAATGCATCGCCTTTGCTTTCGCAACTAGACTGTATGCTCTCTCTTCTCTTGCTTGTGTGCTGTAGCAAGGAGTATTACGAAGCGCTCACTGCACGGAAAACTTTACTGACAGCAATGACTGAGGAAGACCTCAAAACCCCTTCCAACGGCGCTGCACCCGTTGCCGTGCCCTCCCTTGTTCTAGCTGGCTTAACTGCCATCGTGGCACTTGCCTCTGCATAGAGAAGCTAGAAATGTAGCTAGCCTCGGGTCGTTAAGTTTCGACTGATGATTGCGCATAAGGAATCTGCCGTTTCCTTTCTGCACGTTGATTGAAACAGCAGCGGATTTCAGCTGCCGTTCTGTACCCCCGCGTCGCCGCGCCCACCACCCCGTGGCAGCGGCATCGCATTCAACAGATTCTCATCTTCATCGTTGAACACAGCGTTTATTGATTTAACAACAATGGACAGTTATTAATTATCATTGTTTGAGTGGAATTTCAACGGAATGCGTCGCTACAGAAGGCGATAGCATAGGGGGTTTGTTACTTATGAAGAGATTGCGACAAGGCACCGCAGGGTACGAGGCACTAGACAATGGTAAGTTCATTGAAATCAGGAAGTGTTGAGAAAGATGATGGGTGTAAAGAGCACCTCTCTCGATGTTTGGTTTTCGTTTATCCTGCGTTGGCTGACTCGAGAATGTTTGCAGAAGCCGATTCAGGGTGCGAACAAGTGCCGCTATCTGTTAACGGAAACACAAGGTGAACGTCTCAGCGCATGTTACGCGCTTTTCTACTCTGATATGCATGAGTTGTGCTCGACGTACTTCTTGCTATGCCTGGCGGTGCAGTCCTAGTTTCTTGATGTTTTCAGAATGCAGAGAGAGGAAATATAATTGAATTCACCGCGGGGGAAGGAGGAACGACGTTGTAGAAATACCCCAGTAGTAACACTATACTAGGATTGCACCAAAGTATTATCTTTTTACAGTTCGTGGTGTGTCGCAACTAGTGATAACCCTACCAACTGCACAAAGCCTTTATTACAATAATAGTCAGTGATCAGCTTTCTAACGCGGCATCACGAAATACCCGACGGCGATGAAAAGCCGAAACCTAGTTGCCTCAGTTGTACCGCAAGGAATCCTCAAGGGGAGCAACTGACTAGGAATCGAAGGCTCTGCAGGCTCAACCATCTTCCTGAATAGAGTGTCCTTCGTACGGAAGGCTGTTCATCACAAACGATATAACATCACCATAAATACCACGTACCATATAATTTATTCATTCTGCATCGTATCACACGCATCATATACCAGTGTAAATCTTAGGCATATAACAAATCACAGAACTCGCCTGCACCCTGTATAGCATATCGCGCTGAAAGCATCATTTCCGCATGTAAATTCAAAAGGGGAGGCAGCTCACCAGTATGCTTGCACCCTGCATGAGGTGGATCATTAACATAGTCACATGTACACACTATTATGAGATAAGAAGCATAGAGCTAGTTACGGGCAAGTTTGTGTGGAGGTAATTCGTGGAAGACCCTGACACTATATAT